GCCCAGCCTTTTTTTGTTGTTGTTGTTTCTTATTTAAAAGGAAATTTAAAATTGTTTATTGTACTGAAAACACCAGATAAAGTAGGAAAAAAGAAAACACAACTAAAATCAATAGCCTGCCCAGTGTCTGAGGTTCCCATCTCAGGTTCCCACCTCCTCCCCAGGCTGTGCTGTGGCCTCTGGGACAAGTGGTTTCTCACCAGGACAATATGGAAGCGGTTATAGGCCACGTGGCTGACACCAAGGGTCTCATCCTTTCCATGGTCATTTCACGACAAGTGGCCTTAGAAAGAGGTACCAACGTTAAAGACAGGCATTTTACCAAGATTCTGCCACGTTCCAAGAAGAAGGCATAGGATTTCAAGGGTGTTTAGAACCGTTTTTCTGGGTGTGTGTATTAGTACAGCTTCCTCGTGGGTGTCAAAGACGAAGTTCCGGCCACAGGTGATGGGCCTCCTTCGCTGGCAGCAGGGTCTGGCTGTGGCTCTCTGCTGGAGAGCACTATCCTTTGTCACATTGTCTCTGGCAAATGTGCCCCGTCCTTCAGGGTATGCAGAGATGTAGAGCCTCACAGCTGGCAGGGCACTCTCAGGAGGAAGCCAGGTGTCTGTGCTCTGGGCTATTGTTGGGGCGGTGACCCAACAGTGCTGGAAATTCAGTGCTCACAAGCACTGGGGAGTATTACTTGTTACTGTGGTTTGAACAACGGTGATCCATTATCTAACACTTTGGGGCCAGGTGTGTTTTGGAATTCAAACCTTTTTGGGTATTAGGGAGATAATATAGCACACATGCACTTTATTTTGCATATGGGAAGCACCAGTAATCAAATTAATAATCTTGCAGCAAAATATATGCAGATTCACACTGAATCAAATACATGCAGACTATAAATAGCCTCTCATTTTTTTTTCAGTCTGATTTGGATACTACATGAGGCCAAATGAGTCAGGAAAACTTGTAGTTTGCAATTGTTTGATTTTGGAACAGTGTATGTGTCCAGGCACTGAAAGTTCATTTTTCAACTTCAAGGAGCATCTCATAATCTACTTGAGGTTAATAAAGCTAACAGGAGACAGCCAGTTAGTCTTTGGAAAGTAGTTAAATAGACACTTAGCTGCAAATGCTGCTGGAGGGCCATCTCCGGGCCTCTATCCACCCATATTTTTTAACTGCCACACCCGCTCTGCACTTGCTGTCCTACCTGTGCCAGGAGGCAGGGCCCTGTGATACAGCAAGGCGATGTGCTCAGGGCATAGCAGCAAAGCTGGGGAGGAGCCAGGTTTCTGGCTCTTGGGCCAGTGCTTTGTCCTGTGCTCCATGCTGCACAGTGTCCACAGCTGGTCCTTCAAGGTATTTTATAACCAACAACGTGGGGTGAAAAATTACTTTAGGATTTTATACTTGTTTCATGACCTTGTAGGGAAGAAGGCGACTGGTCATGTGCTGTAGAAGTTCTGGGGAAGAAAGGCTATATTTGTGGTGTGGGAGGCAGATTCCTGTGTGGGAGAAACAGGTGGGATTAGAAAATATGCTCAAACTGTAATAAAAATGGGTCTGCAGATTTACATTTCCTGAAAAAGATGAAAAGGAAAGAACCACAATCCTCTCTTTCTTTCCGCTCTGTATCCCTCTCTTCTTTCCTTCCTCCCCCAGGATTGTTTGGCTGGACAGTCCTCTTAGGGAATTTGTGGTGTGATGGGGAAGGATGTTGGGTCCCCCATTGGCACTATCTTAAAGTCCCCATCCGAGGGTGCTGGGTGGGCTTCCTCAGCACTGCTGGAACTCAGTACTCCCTACGCACCCAGCATGTGACCCAGAGGGGCCATTCCTCCAGGCCACCAGCCACAAGACCTCTTCTCACTCCTGTGTCCTCCTGGTTTTCTCCTCTAAGCATCTGCAACCCTACAGCTGCTAGCCTCGTCGGCCACGTCAGTTCATGTTGAGAGCAGCAAGCTCAAGGTGTGTCCCTGCTGGAACGGGCAGTGCCGTGGCTGGCCCTGGGAGAAGGCGAGGACCTGGTGCCCATCTGGTTTAACGGCTCTTGGGTGGGAGTGTCTAATGCTCTGTGGGGGAGCTTCACATGCAGCTGGAGTTGAGATCCACTGGCCTGGGCCAGAGCTTTCATCTGACTCGGTTTTCCCAAGCAGCTGGGCCACAGAAGACAGCTTCTGGCCTCCAGACTCCTGTTCTAAAGACTGGTCCTTGACCCGACTGAGTGATATAATCACGAGGAGATTCTCTTCCCTCACAGAATGAGTTGCCCTGGGGATCCCCAGGGGGCTGTTTCCAAGACTCCCATGGATACAAAACCCAACCTGGGGGGACTCCGGTTCTTTATATAAAGTGGTGAAGTATTTGCACGTAACTACCCACATCCCCTGTGTGCTCCAGATCATCTCTAGGCCACGTGTGCTCCCTAGAGCCGTGCAAACACCACGTGAACAATATACCATGCTGCTTAGGAATCAGTGACGAGAAAAGATCTGTACATGTTCAGTACAGATGTAGATTTAAAGAAATATTTTTGATGGGTGGTTGGCCACAGAACCCACGGAGGCAGAGGCCTGTGGTTCACCTCTGGGGGCTTCTCTCCACAGCTGGATCAGGAGCCCCTGAGTAAGGACCAGCCTGTGCTTCCCCTGCCCTGACCCTGTGGTGACCCGCTCTTCCTCTCCTTCCAGTGCCAGGACTACCGGGGCGGCTGGCTGGTGGGCGACCTCTGCGAGGACCTGTGCGTGGCTGGGGAGCTGCTGTACCAGCGCTGCCTGTACTACGAGCGTGGCAAGAAGGTGCTGCAGGCCCAGTGGCGGGGGAGGCCCGTGGTGCTCAAGTCCAAGAGGGAGGCCTTCTCCAGCTTCCCGCCGCTGGGCCTGCTGCAGGAGGAGGAGGCTGGGCAGAGGGGCCAGGGGGTCCCAGAGGCGGAGCTCCTCCTAGTGCTGGCCGGGGAAGTCAAGAACGCCCTGGGCCTGGAGCTGCCCAACAGCAGCATGGGGCCCCTGTGGCCTGGCCGCTGGGGTCCAGGCTGGCGGCGGCAGCTGGCCAGCGCGTGGTCCCTGCTCCAGCAGGAGGAGTACGTGCACCTCAGCCTGCTGCAGGGCCTGAGTCGCCATGTCCTGCCTGTGCTGGGCTCCTGTGGCCACTTCTACGCGGTGGAGTACCTGCCCGCTGGCAGCCCCCAGCACAGCGCTCTCTTCCCTCTGGGCCAGGCTGCTCCCCGGGGCGGCCAGGTGCAGGCCATCAGCCACATCGCGCTCAGCTTCCTGGACATGGTGAGCCATTTCGACCATGACTTCTCCCACCGTCTTCACCTCTGTGATGTCAAGCCGGAAAACTTTGCCATCAGGAGTGACTTCACAGTGAGTGGGCCAGGGGAGGGTGTTTGTGGAGTGAGCTGCGCTGCAGGTCTGCGAGTCTGGGGGAGGAGAGGACCTAGGCCAGCCCTTCTGTGGAGGAGGAGCTGCAGAGGGCCATGTGGCTGGGTGCACAGTGGCCTGGCCCACTCACCCAGTGGCCTGGCCTGGGCACACGGTGCCCAAACTGCCATGCGCTGCAGCAGCGTGTGACCTGTCAGTACGTCTCTTCTGGAGAGGTTCTAGTTAGTTTCCAGTCTGTGTTTAAGACTGCCAGCAGGGCAGGAGGAGTCTGGTGCCCGGGTCAAGTGCTGGGCAGCTGCAGGACCCAGGAGGCAGAGAAGGGGCCAGAAGGACTCAGTGCTCTATTACGAGATACCCCTGTCCCCCCACTGGGCCCACACAATGTATCAGGATAGCTGCTTCCCCTAACGGTGGCCTCATTGTCTGCCCTAAGGGTACTTGGTCACTCAACGGGAAGTGGTGACAAGACTGCCTGTGATGTGGTGGCATTAAATAGGTGTTGGGGAGCTGCGCTCTGGTCCCTGCTCCTGTACAAGCTGGTGTTCCTACACTGCACACACTGGTCACCAGGGTGAGTGGGCTCCCATGGAACTGGCTCATGATGGAGTAAGACTCTTATCCTGGTCAGGACATAAAGGGACAAAGAGGAGGTGCCACTGCTGCTGGCCATGACTTTGAGGGCAGGTGGCACAGGAGTGACATAGCCTTCTTAAAGCAGCTTGCCATCTGGAAACAGAATCTGCCTGCAGCACAAATCCCTGGTCTACCTGAGGGACTTGTCCCTGAAGGGCACTGGAGCATCTGACCTGGCAGCATTGTCCTAGTGCCCTGTTCTCACTGCCCTGGGGGGCAGGCAGCAAGCAGGTGTGAAAGGGACTGAACTGAAAGGTTCTGGCAGGTTCCAGAAGGCTCTGGGAGGGAGCTCAGGGCCCTCAGGCCCACCCGCAGTGCTCTGGGCTCCCCGCTGCCTGGCAGGGGCCAGTTCCCACAAAGACTCATCCAGCAAGTGTGCCTGAGTGTCAGCGAGTGGAACTGTGGGCGCCGAGGGCTCCAGGGACCTGGGAGGAACCCGGCTTCATGGAGGGGCTGGGGCTGGGGATCCTCTGTGTGGAGGGGGCGCCCTGGTTCGTGCAGCCGCCTAAATTGTGCCTCTGGCGTCTTGCACTTGGTGGTCCTGAGTGCTCTGCTCAGTGAAATCCTGACCTGCTCCTGGCCATCCCTGACTGCGCTCCCCAGAGCTGTCCCTCTGCGCTGGCTCTGGGGCAGGTGGGGTGGGGAGGGGAGGGAAAGGGTGAATCCCTTCACAAGCCCCGAATCTTGACCCTCCTTGAGACACTGAACTACACGTCAGCTGTTTTGCCTGGATTTTGTCTAAGTGAAAACCAGCAGACCCCACATCACCTAAGAACTTTTTTAGAAATTCAAATTCTCAGACTCCACCCCTACTGAATCCTCACAGGCGGGATCTTAAACTCTGGGGTGGGACTCAGCAGCCTGCGCTGTAGGAACACCTCCTTCCAGCTGGTTCTGGCTGTGCTCAAGTTTGAGATCTGGGTGCTCTAGGTCCCAGTGGGTGGCTCCTGCCTTTGAGCCCCAGCTGCCCTGCTGCCCTGTGGTGGGAGGGGTGCCAAGAGTCCAGGATTCCAAGTCTCCCCCCACCTGCAGGCCCAACCCCCTGCAGGTATGGAGAGTTTATCCAGTGGTTGCAAATGAACAACTAGGTCAGGGCTTGGTGACCCAGACTGTGGCAGGCAAGTGCACCTTTTGAGCGAACGATGTCTTCCTGCTCTAGAGAATGAAAATGGAGAGTAGACTATGAAACGATTCCATGCAGCGGAGAATGAAATAACTCTCACTGATCTTTCTATTCTGATGCCCGAGGAAATCTGAAGATGGTAATGCACCTTCAGTAATCTCATGCAGGCAGGGCTCCACGGTTCTCTTGATGTTAAGAGCATCACACAGGCTTCTGTGTTTGTGTGGTTACTGTTCTTATTTTAGGTGTGTAGGGTCGTGCTTTCAAGAGCTGTAATTCATCCTTGGTGCACAATATAAATTAAGAAGTAAACCTGGCTCTCTCCGGGATGAAAACCCAGAAACCACCAGAAACGGGAGCGAGAAGGAGCCAAGGACTGGAATTCCACCTTGGAGCCCAGGAGGAGCTGGGGAGGCTGCCAGAAACTCCGGGAAGAGGCGCTCGCTCTGGTGATAAGTTATAAAGATGATAGATTCATCAGCACAGCCCTCATCCAGTTTTAGTATATTAACCAGGCTAAATAATGAAATTAGCCATTTATTTTGGCTGAATAATGAGATAAGAAAGATTGATTAAAATGATAAATTCTGTTTGCTGTGCCTGAATTAGTTATTAGGCAAAGCCCTCAGACAGGGGAAAGTTCTCTGCTCTTTATTTTCATGATTCTGCACATATTTTGAAACAAATTATGTTCCCTCCTGCTCTGTTTCACTAAATAATTCCCAAGAACACTTCTTGCCTTCCAGCATCAATCTTAAGTGAAAAACAAAGATAATAAATAAATAAATAAATAGGCAAGCACCAGGGCCTGTCCCCCCGTGGCTGTGTGAAGCTGGAGGAAAGGAACACCAGCAAGCCAGCTCTCTCCCAGGGGCTGACTGACACTGACCTGTGAAGGCTTGTGAAATGCCACAACGCCATCAGATTCATCAAGCTTCCTAATAGCTTTTTGATACCTGGGAGCTATAAGCTGCATGACTTGGGCAGACTCCAGGTTTTCTCAGATTCAAGCTCATCTTTTCTTGTTGTTGTTATATCCAGGTGGTGGAGGAAAATCTGCAGAATTTAGAGGTTCTTCTTCTTCTTTTTTTGAAGACTATTTGGTTTGAAGCCAGGATGATAAATCCGAAATTCCAGGAGGCTTGTGAGGTTCTCAGTGGGACTTGGAAGTGGGTCCCTCCTGTTGATCCTGTTGAGTCAGGATCCACATGTGTCTATCCTAATTTGAGCACTTTGCCCTTTCCCTCACATTTACTCAGACTGGTCGGTTGGAAATTCATTGGTGTGGGTAGCAAAGGTGCCATAAAACTCAGATAAAAATCCCCATCTCGAAGGTGTAAAAGATACGCGGGGATTGTCAAATCTAAATGGAGTTGCTCATGTCAACCCTAACCAAAGCACCAAAATAAACAAAGCCAGAGATTGTGGAGGAAGGGTTGCTATGCATGACTCCCTGACAGTATCCACCAGAGGAGGCTGTCAAAAAGCACAGCTGGGCACAGAGGCCGCCGCAGCCTTACATATAAGGCACTTCTACAAGACATCTGCCCAGCAACTGTCCGTCAACCTCAGACTGAGGCCATGATGGTTATTAGTCATTGTGACCCAGCATATTGTTTCAAACATCTTAAGTAATCCTCCTTGTTGCCCTAAGAAGCTTCCCCAGGCCTCAGCCCTGAATATGGCAGAAGTTTGCTGGGCTCCCACCACAAGGCTCTGCTATTCCCACGCTAACTCTTCCTAAATAGATGCCAGTGTTCTTCGGAGAATCTCTGGTTGTTTTTGTTATTTAGGATGACAGAGGTCAGAGACCAAAGCTGATAAAGTAATAGAAATAAATTCATTTTTAAGCCATTTCAGAGATTCTACTTTTGAAGCAGAGAAAATGTTCAAAGATGAAAAGCGATACTTGTAGTTATGGCTCCAAATCCTCGGCTTTAACCAGTGAGGGCAAAGTTTCTTTTTGCAGTTGAAGCTTTGCAATATAATCCATGTGAAGAGTTGTAAACTCTTGGTGGGGGACAGCCACTCCAGGTCCTGGCCGGGCTCTGAATGAGGGCAAAGAGGCTAGAAGGAGGAGCCCAGACAGGCTCCTGCAGTGTCCTCTAATGGCTCCGTGCTGTTTTGATTGCAGGTCGTGGCTATTGATGTGGACATGGCCTTTTTTGAACCTAAAATGAGGGAGATTCTTGAGCAGAATTGCACAGGAGATGAAGACTGCAATTTCTTTGACTGTTTTTCAAAATGTGATTTGCATGTGAACAAATGTGGAGCTCAACGTGTCAACAGCAACCTGCAGGTGAGTGGGCTGCTGGGGGCTGGGATGCCATCAGTCCCTCTAGTAGCCTCTGGCGCCACAGATCCCTTCCGTGGAGCTGAAGGTGGGCCTGCCAGTCTCTCTTGCTCACCCCAAGTATTCAGCAAAGGCTGGGCAGGGGGTGGTTAATGTCTACCCCATGGGGAGGGTGGGCAAGTGGCCACTGAAATCCGATGGATGGAGGTCCCAGCAAAGCCACCTGCTGGGCTTCCTCTTCCTTGAAGCTCCACCTGATCCTTGGGCTTGGAGACCTGTTCTCTGGGTCCAGTGTCTTCGTCGACATAACCCCTCACACACACACACACACACACACACACACACACACACACACACACACACCAAGAGTGAGAACCCAGAGACCAATCTGTCAAGGATGAGACTGATAAGAGTGCAAAGCAGGCCTCAGGATGGACAGACACTGCAGTGCCACGGGATAGACTCGGGACAGCAGAGGTTGCAGGGTTGACGGGGGAGGAAGCCGAGTCCAGGTCAGCAGTGAGTAGGAGTCAACTGGGCTTCAGACGGCTGAACTGGGTTTCCAGGTGGGAGACCCCATGTCCAGGGTTGAGTCCCCCACCAGTGGGACATCATCCCTCCTTTTGGTAGAAGTAGTCCCTTCCAGCCCTCACTTGAGGTGCTTAGGTGGGTGAGGGTGAATGGGGGCCCACAGGTCTGAGGCCTCTGCCAGAGGGCAGTGTCGGGACCGCCTCACCACCGAATCCGAGTCGCCAGGGGCGCACAGTGCAGGGCGCCATCCCAGGATGGGGTGGGTTGGGGAGAGGTGGACAGTCGTGCTGTTAATCTGGTGGTCTATGGCCAGGTCAGATAAAGGCCCTGGTTCTGCCCCAGAGTGGCCCAAACTTTGGGGTGGAATTCCAGAACTGCCCTGGGCTTCCTCCTGAAGGAGGCCCAGCAACCATGTGACCTGGAGGCCTGCCGCCCTGACCTCTTTAATGTGCACCCACACCTGGTGCATCCAGCTGGGGGGGGGGTGGTCTGCACTGTAGCGTCACCCCAGTCACCCCATCATCAGCGAGAAAGAGTAGATACCAGACATTTGAATGCCCCTATCCAAAGAGCCAAAGAAATGGAAAATAATTTCATCTCATCAAAGATATGCATTTGGAAATCTGATGATAATAAATTTATTTTGTCAGTTGGGAATAGTCATTAAAATGCCATTCATTAACAGTTGAAGCTTCAGGGAAAGAGATAAATGTCTATATTGTTATAGATCATAAACTGTATCTCTCTGGAGAGTTGTGAGTGTTGGAAATGTTTATATTAAGCAATTTCACTTGTCCATAAACCTGATGATTGCTTTAGAATAAAGTCCTAGAAGTGAGATTGCACATTCTTTAAGGATATGAGATAATTGAAGTGTTAAGTTAAAAAAAAATAGAGACTACAAATCAATATTTAAACTACGAATAGGATATTTTGCGAAATAGGATATTATTGAAAAGATAGACACCAAGCTGTCAAAGATAATTATTTCTGAATGGTAGGATTACCATTTTTCTTCATCTTGCAATATTTCTACTTTTCTAACTTAAATTTCACACAAAAATTCTAGCCATGCATAAATTGATGGACAAATAAATGGAATAGAATAAAAAATTTCACAAATAGGCTTACTGATAAGTGGGCATTTAGTGTGTGGTTAAGGGGGTGCAGCCCCGTGTGGGAGCTGGGTTGAGTAATGACTGGTAAAGTGGCAGCCCAACAAGTGGTCCAGTTAACTCCGTGTTTCATTCCTTATGCCGAACTAAATTCCAGATGGTCCAAATACTTACTTGTAAAAAGTGAAATCCTTAAAGTACCAGGAAAGAATTTCCTTGGAGAATGTAATATTATTCTAGTGCAGGGAAAGCCTTTGTAAGTATAGAGCACAGCTCAGAAGCCAAAGGAAGAACAGTGCACAAATTTAGCTCTCTTAAAAAAAAAATCCCCATGGCCAAAGAAGCCACAAAATCACCAAAACTATAAGCAAAGCAAAAATACTTGCAATTCTCCTCACAGACCAGAAGGGTAGAGCATGGATGGAAAATTATCCCTGGCTCCCAGAGATCATGCAACCCCTCAACCAGGAAATCCACAGAACTTCTTTACCAGGGTTGTGCCTGCTTCCTGGCAGCAGCATCTAGCAATTGGTCAGTGTGGGAGAAGGGGGCACAGATACAAAGCTGAGTCCCTTTGCCCCCATAAAGGACAACTATGTAGGTCTTCCTCAATTCCCTAGAGATGTGTCCCCATGAACGCTCCCGACAAATCCCTGCATGCAAACTTGCCATATTGCCCAGAGTAGCATTTGTGCAAACATAAAAGAAAATGGGGCCAATGTGTTTACAGGCTTAGATTCTGTCTAGGGTGCTTGAAGAGGAGTCACCTCTCGGGGGAGCCCAGAATCCGGGCTGGTTGGAGACTGAGATCATGGTGTATTCTTCAGGACACTTTAAAGTCTGCACATGAAAATGTGTTCTTGACTCAAAAAAGAAATAAAGTTGTCTTTTAAAAAAAGTAATCCTTGCCTTTATAGGGTCTGGAAAATGAAAGTTAAATTACTTGTCTTCTATGAAATAGCAAAACAATAAAACGGAGGCGTTTGCTGAATGATCCCAACACCCAGGGTGATGTGGGAGATAAAGCACTGTTAACTGTGCAGCGTCCAGGCCAGGGCTCCACGGAGGGGCTGTGAAAGCTGTAAGCAGATCACGTTCAAACTGAGAATTTCAAGATCTCTTGGGCATCAGTGAATTTCATAGCCTTTTAGAATTAAAGACCATTATAGAGTAACTTAATTTTTTCCTTCTGCTCCTAAAATAAAACAATTTGAAGGCTCCTTTAAAGATACCTATGCCCGTAGCCTCTTCCTTCTTCACAGGCTCCGAGGCTGCGTGGAACAGTGCACGTGTCTGTACTGCCTTCCGCTGTGCTCCACCTGGCCCTCAGGACGCCCCGTTGGGGTGGTTATCATTGCTGCTCTGACCCACTTGTGGACAGGACAGCCCATGTGGAGTGGGGACAGGGCAGGGCGGCTGGCTGAGACCCACAGAGCCACTGACTCCTAAGAACTGTCCCTATTGGTGACTTCTACTCACTTTCTCTTTGGAAATGTGTTCAGTCCTCTACGAAGCATCACCCAGAACCTCTCCGCTGCTCCAGGCTGGGGATGGATTTCCCTCTGCACAGGGAGCCAGGCTCCCACTCTCTGAGGTGGGGCTTTTCTGGGTGCAGAGTGGTCTCAGCTGCAGAAGGGAAAGCCGCCCACCTCCCAAGAGTCCAGTGGCCTCTTAGGGCCCTCCCTGAAGGAGCAGAGCCAAGGTCTGCTGGAGAACCAACTGGGGACTTGGGAAGCTTTGAACGATGACTTGCCGCCCTGAATTAACTGCGCACCCTTCTTTCCCCAGGTAATCTGTGACAAAATATTTCGCCACTGGTTCCCCTCAACTCTCAAGAGTTCTGCTGTCTCCTTCCGGCTCCGGCGGCAATTACAGCAGGCTGTACAGGAATGCACGGACCCAGAAGTCTCCACTGGGAACTGGAGAGCAGCCCCCAGCGTGTTCTGGAAGCTTCGCAGGCTCCTTCAAGCCCTGCTGAAGGAGCTGCAGGAGGCAGAGAAGTAGACACTCAGGCCTTCAGCATGCGCAGGGCAGAGAAGTGACCTGGAGTGACTTCTTGTGCAGTTGCTCTAATGATGAGACATGTTCACTATGCAAATGGATTGTCTCTAAGGTACCGTGAAGTCTGACTGTGCAGTTGCCGGTGCTGTTGAGTTTCACTTCAGGTGCTGGGACAAGTGTCTCCATGCTCCACCCCAGCTTGATGATTTTTGTTGGTCCTGACCCCTCTGTCACACCCTGAAACGACAGAGGGGCACAGGGCATTTTCCTTTGGGGGAACTCTCAGAAAACCCAAGCCCCATGTGTAACATTCTGTAGAAAGCATTGTGTCCAGTCATCAGAGAAAGAAAGATCTGAGTGCTCTTCCCTTTAAACCATTACCACAAGTGTGTGCACACAGGTGAGTGTGCAAGTGAGCATGGGTGTGCACAGGTGTGTGGACATATATGTAATACCAGCATGTGCTCATGTGTCCATGAAGAGCAGTATGAATTTGTGTACACGTGACTGTGTGCAGGCAAGCATGTTAATGTGTGTGTGTGTTTGCATCTGTGTGTGTGTGAGTGTGCATGGCTGTGCACAGGTGACTGCTCTGTGTGGAGTTTGAGTATGCCTCTGTGTGCACACATGAATATGAGTGTGCACCTGCACCAGTGTTCATCTACAGGTGTGAGCGTGTGCACCCGAGGGAGTCTGTGTGTGTGAACATGTGCACATGAATGGGTGTGACCGCAGGCACAAGTGCATGCATGAATGTGCATGTGCGTGTCAGCAGAGGAGTGTGAGCAGGTGGACATGTGGGCGTGGGGGGCTGGTTTCTCCAGCCTGTCCTCTGGGGAAGTTTTCCTAGAAGCAGGGAGTTTGCTGAACACAGTGTTGTCTTGTCACCTGAGAGAATTTAAGTGGCCCAGGTGCTGGGGTGGGCACTGACTGTGTGTGGGGGGAGACCCGCTCCTCCTGTGACTGAGGGGACCTCGCCACAGGCACCAGAGCCTTCTTTGGTGGGATGTGCTCTTCCGAGTGGCGCTTTCCTGCAGCGGACAGAAGCCACAGGAAGCAGACCGCTCCGCTTGCTTCCTGGGAGGGTGAAAGCCACGGGGAGCCACAGGGACTGCACTTCCACTCTGAGCTGGGACCTGCGCGTCCCCACCAGAATCACGCGTCACGTGGAAGCGGAGTAGAGAAAGACGCGGCCCAGAAGGCATGAGGAGGGGATGTCGGGGTTTACAAAGGAAAAGGACAAAATCTGAAGTTTCAAAAATGCGTAAATTGGAAAATTTCCAACAATCTCTCTGTTCCTGACCCCAGCCCCTCCCTGATCTGCACGAGGGAGCCTGCCTTCTCCAGGTCCTCTGGGGCGCGTCTCTCTGTGTACCTCGTCGGCACCAGCTCACTCTGAGATGTCACACAGGGAACCGGGATCTCGGAAGCCCCACCAGCCCTGGATTCTGAGGTCCTGGAGACTCATGTGGAGGCCACAGTGACCTGTGCTTCCCACCCCCACCCTCCCGCAGTGTATGGGATGATGCCAGCTGTCACACAGGAGGACAGCCCCCGTCCTGTGCCCGAGGACCCACTTGGCACTTCTTGTCAGCAGCATCCGTCTCTCTTGTGGCAGAAGTGCGCTGAGACCCAAGTTGGCAGACTCTCACAGGCTGGGCCTGGTGCTGGTGAGACCCCTGCCCCTGCCCTGTTCCCGCTGCTTCTCTGCTGGGCAGGTTTTCACCTGGGAAGGGACCCAGGAGGGCAGGTCAAGATGCGGGGAGGCAGGAGGGAAAGTCAGTTTTCATTTCAACCAAAATGGAAATGAATGCTTTTGTTTGCCCTGGAGACTGTGCAGGGTTGATTACCCAACACAACCGTGGTTTTCTTGCTGCAAGGGGCCATTTTATCTCCTTCCTCTGAGGATGGCTACCTGATTACATGCACTTTCCCTCCCTGCCTGGAGAATTCCGTGTGGGACAGTGGCTCTTACACAATCCAGGCCGAAGTTCAGGCTTGTTTTGATTTTTTATATAATACAATAAAAACACTGTGTATCAGTACTTAATTGTTGTAGTGTGGTGGTGCTGGGGATTGAGTCCAAGGGCCTTGCTCATGGCTCTGCCGCTGAGCTACAGCCCCATCCTTAATTATTGTAGTTATTTATTTATTTGTTTGTTTATTTACATATTTGGTGTTTTTTAGTTTCACATAACTTTATATTATATATATATAATCATTTTGACACCATTATAGAAGCATATAATGTGTCCCAATTTGGTCCCTCCCAGTTCCTCCCCCTTCCCTCCCCCTGCTCCCTTACCTCTACTGAGCTTTCTGCTATTTACTTTTAGTTTCTGCATTTACTTAATAGTCAGTGTGGACGTAGGTGAGGTGACACTCACTGTGGGATATTCCTGTAGGTACTTAGGACAGTCAGGTCAGATTGATTCGGCTGTTCCTCCCTTCTCCCGTCCCCTCTCCCTCCCCCTCAATCCTCTTCATCTGGCTCATTGATCTTTCTTCTACTTTGATGGAATCCACCCCCTTTTCCTTGTCTCTCTTTCTGTCCCCCTCCCCACCCCCCATGGGTTTGGTAGCTTCTCTGAAAATCAGAGAAAACCTTCAACCTTTGACTTTCTGAGTCTGGCTTATTCCACTTAGCATGGTAATCTTCAGTTCCATCCATTTACCCCAAATCCCATAATTTCATTCTTCTCTATGGCCAAGTAACCCCCCATTGTTTTTCTGTTGAAGGGCACCTCAGTAGGTTCCATAGCTGGACGTTGTGAATTGTGCTGCTATAAACGTTGATGTGGCTGCAGCCCTAAGGGGTGCTGATTTGAGATCTTTTGGATCTATACCAAGGAAAGGAATGGAATAGCTGGATCATCTGGTGGTTCCATTCCTAGTTTTTTGAGAAATCTGCATACTGCTTTCCAGAGTGGTTGCACTAATTTGCAGTCCCACCAACAATGGATGAGTGTGCCTTTCCCTCCATATCCTTGTCAGCATTTTTTATCATTTGTATTCTTCAAAATTGCCATTCTGACGGGAGATGAACTCAAAAAACTTGACACCAAAAAAAATCCAAATAACTCAATTAATAAGTGGGTGAAAGAACTAAACAGATACTTCTGAAAAGAAGAAATATAATTGGTCAACAAATACACTAAAAAAATGTTCAATATCTCTAGCAATCAGGGAAATGCATATTGAAACCATTTTTAATATTTTTAATGCAACAAATGAGATGCTTCTTGGCCCAGTTGAGCAGAGGGAGAAATGTCAGCCTCAGTGAATTCTGTGTTATGTTTCAACAACACTCACAGTAGACAGAACACTCTCAGGGAAACATTGATGGGAATTGAAAAAGATTATTAAGGCAAGTTAAATTTTATCCAGATCAAAGCAGGCACTGCATTACCATCCAATCCTTCGTCAGAGGCCAGTTTTCAAAATGTATCCTGATGGATTATAGTTAAAATGATCTTCTGATGATAGAAACACTCCAGGTTGTGTGTCTGGTTGGCTTACAGAGGACACATCTCAACCTGTGGCAGGATTAACGAGGTTCTGCATGGCAATCACAGGGGGCTCGGGCCACAGGAGTTTGTAGACACCTGAACTGGCCTTGTCACATGATGTTGCAAACATTCACAGACACTGCCAACATCGCCAAACCTCCTGGATTCTCCTCACGTGAGGGCACAGGCAAAGCACAGCTCCTCCTGGGAGTGCAGCAGCCTTGTCTCCCAGGGTCCTGCCTGGGCAAAGTCCCAGCCCACCCAGGCCCTGTGTGCACCCAAGGCAAACACTCAGGACATCACTTAAATCATCAGAAGAGCAGCTGTTTTCAAACTTGATTCAGAGTTGTTCTTTGAGTATCTGGAGGTGGAGGAGTTGTTCCTCCCTCCCTGCCCTGCTGTCCACCCCTTCTGCAGCCCATCATGAGGGGGACCCAGACATGGCTGCATCTGAAGCAGGACCCTCAGCTAACACCCGAGGGAGCAGAACCTGGGGCCCAGGTCTTGTGATGCGCAGGGCCTGTTGGGACCCTGGCTGTGCGTCCTGTCCCAGCACAGGGGTTCAGCAGTGCAGGATGCCCGCTGTGCAGTCACAGAAACCCAGGGAGACAGGAGGGGTGCCATGCTGTCTTGGCCTTGGACAGCCAGTGGCTTCTCCTGAGGGAGGTGGCAGCAGGGGCTTGTCATAAGTGTCACTGGTCCTGTAGAACAGAGCCCGCTGCACCCTGGGGACGGAGGGGTTGCCTGGAGGAGGCCCTCAGCCCCACTCTAGGAATTTCTCTCTCCCACCATCTTCTACTTTGGCCACCCTGGCCCCGGGGCTTCCTGAAGATGCAGCACTAACACCTGCTGTAGTCTCTGCCTCGAGGTCTGGGGACACTCAGCATTGGCTCCTCCACGCTCTGGCCTTTGGGGGTCCACTTCCTGCTCAGTCTTGAACCTGTGAAGGTGTCTCAAGGACGTTTGAGCCAGGGCCATCGGGGGAGCAGGGAGAGGTATGCGGCCCTCAGCTGTGGTCAGGGTCTGGGTGGGGGCCCTTGCTTTTGTCCCTGACCTTGAGGGCTATGTGCTTTGTTTTCCACAGTAGAAATCTGAGGGAAGCGACTATTGCACACTGTGGCTTTCAAACTGAAACTCAGGACACGTGATCACTTCTGATTTTCAAAATGTTTGAACACAGAAACTTGAAAAGTGTACCCCAAAAGCACAGGATGCAAGGTGACCACTCGTCGGATTTCCATACAACGGTAGAGGACCACACTGGGACTTGCAGCAGAAAGGCCCCCGAGAATACCCACACCTCCACGTCTAAGTTGTCCCAAAGCCGCTTGTCGTCTGGACAGGTCATCACCGGAGGAGTGAGTTTCTCTGAGTCACCTTAAACAGCCCCAGGTGGACTCACTGCCGTGTCTGATGAGGAGCAGTCAGTGTGTACTTGTGGAAGGTTCTGGAACTTGGAGCCAGAAGCCTGGTCTGGGAACCAGCTCTTGTGACTTTAGACCTTCCCTGGCCTCAGTGTGAAAAGTGTGTGCAAATGTCCTGCAGGGAGCAAACCAGACACCGCAGGAGGCGGGAGATCAAGGAACAGCTGCAGGTTTCCTCTGGGACTCCCTGGTCTGGGCCCATTCACAAGCTGTCACAGCTAAAACCACATCTCCAGGATGGTGCAGGACCATGTCCCCAGCTCAGGGGCCCTCTTGGCCCTCACCTGTCCCCCTGGACAGACACAGGCCTTTTTGTCTGATTGCCCAGGAGTGAGGAGGGAGGCTGGGCCCTGCACGCTCCGCTCGTCTGCCCCTGATTCCCAGCAGGTGCAGAGCTGGGGCTCTAGAGCTGCTTGTGCACTGGGAGGACCTGGTCAGGGCCACAGCCCTTCTTTAGACCCATGTCTTCCAGGTGCCCAGCCCGACTTCCAGAGCCTGGAGGAGAGCGTGGGGTCCCTGAGACGGGAGCAGCTGACTTGCAGGCCGCCACCAGCCTGCTCCCAGCCTCCCCTCCCCTTCAAGCCTCGTGGTGCCATTTCTTTCATCACTTTCCCTTTCATCCTCTCCCACGTCCTGGCGCGTCTTTGAAGACAGGAGATGAAACGGGCGAGGGGTCTGGTTCGGGCTGCGGAGTCCTCACGTGGGTGCTCTTCATCAGCGCTCTGTCTCCTCCTGGCCTCCTCCTGCTGAATCTCCAATCTCGCCATTTTTCTCCACGGGCCACAGTGGCCCAGCTGTCTGCTGAGACCAGGATGTGTGTCCTTGAGGTCCTTGCCACCTCCCGAGGCACAGCCCTCCACGTGGGAGGGACGCCAGGCGCACAGCACTGCTGCGGTGGGGGCTGCTGACAGCAGCGAGGGCATGGGGTCCCCCAGGGCCTCCTTGCTGTGGAGCCTCTAGAGTGCCCCTGCGTGGCCTGCAGGTCAGGAGGGCCAGTGGAGCGGCGACTAGGAGCAACCTGTGACGGCCTGAGTTGGCCAACACTCCTCTGCGGCACTTTGTGGGGGGTACATTGCCCACGAGGTTTCCCACAAGGGTCAATCTCCATAGCAACCACTGAAGGAGCAGGAGTGCTTTAGCTGTGCTTGGAGAGCAGGGGCAACACGGCACTTTTCCTTCTGCTTGGAGCAGAATACACGTGACTTCACCAAGGATGGGGGGCACAGGAGGAGTCTTCCCTGAGACGGGGAGGGGTTCCACCCAGGACAGAAGCGTATTCAGTGAGACACCATCGTGAGAGCCATGTCTGTGGGCTTGGGCCGTAACAGAAGACACCTGACTGCTAACATCCAAGCTGTGAGGGTGTCGTGAACAGTGAGCAGAGGTCAGACAAAGACCTGCCTTAGGCACTCACACACTCACACTCACACTCATATGTGTTCAGTCCTGTTCACGCACATACACTCACACTGCACACACCCACACATACAGACACGTACACTCACTCACACACATACAGGTGCACTCACACATAAAGTCTCAGTACACACCAACACCCACATTCACACACACAGCACATGCCCACACATTCGCACACTCACAGCACATGCCCACATAGACACAGACACAGCGCATGCGCACACATATGCACACACAGCAC